TTAAAATAGAAAGTTTTATTAAAAAAAAGGAAGGCAAACAAGTACAAGAGGAGGGGTCCAAGCCAATGCTCCTCAAAACCAAATACATCGCATAAAACAGCCCAAGAAATAGACGAAATAGTGTCTCCAAAAACTAAAGTACAAACAATTGAAATAAAAAAGAAAATACAACCCCTTAGGTGGGTCTTCAATGACTCCAATTGAAAGCATCTGAACAAAAGGGGGTAGACCCGAACGAGGCCCCCCAACCAGCTGCCGGACAATGCATGTTGTGCAAGTCTTAATGAAAACAGCAGCATAGCCCATTCCTAAAAAGTTACTAAAGGAGACCGATTTTGAGTTTGTTCAAGTCTTAATGAAAACAGCAACATAGCTTGGAAGTATCATATTTCCCCAAGTGTATACACAACAGATGAATGCTCACATCTGCAGTGTGTGTGTGTGTATATATATATATATATATATATATATATATAATGGAACGGTCAATGCCCGGCATATCCGCCACACTCCCGGTGAATATGTCAGCATACTCCCGAAGGACTGAGATGATTTCTTCTCGAAGTCCTTCGGGTAAGTCCCGACCGATCCTTACCATTTTCTCCGGGAATGCCTCTCGGAGGACAATCTGCTCGGTTTTGTCACCCGGTTCCAACTTTGACCGGTCTTCCTCCTGAGAAACCAAGGTAACCCTCTCGAATGCCTTTGTCATTTTCTTTACAGCTTCGAGATAGCAAGATCAAGCTTCTTTTGGTATCCTCTGACTTGTCCTATACCGCCCGATGTATAGAACTTCATGCAGAAATGGGCCATGGAGATAATCCTATGGACTTTGTTAATTCCTGGCCGGCCCAGGATAGCATTGTGAACACATTTGATGTTCACTACCACGAACCTCATCTGTTTTTGAATGACCATGTTCCTCGTTCCCAACTCACATGTCAAAAGGATTGTTCCTTCAACTTCTACAGAGTTCCTGGTGAACCCGAACAGGGGAGTTTTCAATGGCTCATGCCGTGTTCGACACAACTTAAGTTTTTCAAAGGCCTCCAAGTACAATACGTTGACACTACTGCTAGTGTCTACAAGTACCTGGAAGACATCAACTCCACCCATGTCCATGGTTATGACGAGAGGATCATTGTGGTCTTCCCCCGTGATGGGAAGATCCCGGTCAGTAAAGATGACCAGCTCCCGTCTGGTTTGCTTCCGCCGGGGGTCAAAGGCAACTGAACCCACATAGAGCTCACACCCCCACTTCTTCCTTTGAGAATCAGAATCTCCTCCCTCTGGTCCACCATAGATCATCCTCACGTGTTCCTTACCGGCTGCTTTCTTCTTCTTATTCTGGTCGGCCGATTGTCCTTTAGGCCGGATCCACTGGTTCTTCTTCTGTTTTGCCCGGGCTAAGTATTCCTGATCAAGTTCCCTGGCCTCGATCATCTGCTTTATCACCCCCTTAACACTATTGCACTCAATAGTGTTATGGGAGTCAGTTTTGTGGAAAGAACAGTATTTTTCCGTCCACTCTTTCTCCCCGGTAAATTTCTTCTCCATTTTCTCTGGTTTTATCTACAATACCTTCGCCTTTACCCTGCCGGGTAAATCAATTTCCTTCCTCACTGCACTCCTTCCCCTCTGGGGACCTTGCTCAGCTTCCCTTTTGGAAGAGACCTGAGCCTCAGCACCCGCATGATCCCAGGCCGTGCTATAGGCTTCCTGGTAGGACTAGGGAGGCCTACTACAGAATTCTTTGTACAATTCCCCATAATGCAGCCCGGAGACCAGGAGGGACATTGCGGTTTTGTCGTCCATCTCCTCAACCTTGTCCACTTCATCCTTCCACCGGGTGAGGAATTTGGTTAGATCCTCATGCTCCCTCTGACTGGCCGTACTCAAGCTCGTCAAAGGAATCGATCTCACCAGACGGGAGGTTGTGAAACCACTCGGCGGCTCGGCCGCGGAGGGTTTGGAAGAAAAGAAAACATTTTTCATCCCCGATGAGTCCCATCATTCTCCCACTTTGGTGGAGGTTTTTGATATGGATCTCCGGGTCCTCCTTGCCGATGAATTTTGGGACCTCAAGCTTAGCCTTGTTTGGAAACGGGGTCTACCCGCCTGTAACTTCTCTAATCAGGCTTCTACCCGACCACACGGTCCTTGGGTTTTTTAAAATGTGTTCGGACCGTGTGCCTTGGATGACTTTCCGCTTCCTCTTCCTCCTAAGGCGCTCGGCTGTGCTAGGGCTCATCTTGAGGGGGAGGTTAGGTTCGTCTGGTTCGACCAGGTCGTCCGCTTCCTCACCCCAGCCTGTCAAAGGCGCTCACTGGAATCGTTTCCACCCCAAACTGCTCCTAGGTCGGTTGGTTCTGATTCCTTCCTTCGTGTCTCAATCTCTGGAATGCCGACCGTTTGGATCCTTCTGGCTGGAGAGCCTTGCCTTTCAACTTCTTCAGGGCCTTAGGCACATCTCAGTCCTCGTCTTTGCTGTCCACTGAATGCACGTCCCCGTCAGGTGTTATTCGGGTGTGGGACCTTCTAGATCGACTCCTTCTAGAACGGGACGAGCCAGCCTTATTAATTTCCCCAACCAGATTCGTCGGAATGACCAACCGGATAATGCTGGTTGGTTGGAATGGTGTGGGGAACCCGGTTATGTTTGGGAAAGGAGAACTTTGGGGCAAGGTTTGTGGATACAGGCCAGGAATGAAAGGAGAAAACCCTCCTGGCTGTTGGAGCATGGACATGAATTGTCCAAAGCTTTGAAGCACTTGGGAATGCATCGGGTCAATGGGCCCGGGAAAGTTTGGAGGAAAAACAGGGACATAAGTTATTGGGGAAGTGAACGGGGTAGGTGTTGGGATGATGATTATATGAGTAGGGATTGGTATAGTGGGAGGGGGCATGATATTTCCTCCCGGGAACAACGTAACGCTCTCAACCGGGGTGGAGATCTGTGAAATAACGGTTTCTTGGTTGTTTGTCATGGATTTTTGTAAAGAGGCCCCACGGGTGGCGCCAATTTGATGGTGTAAATACCGTGCAAATATAAAGTACAAATAAGCGGAAGGGCTGTAGGTGAGAACACCTGTAACCCGGTTTGTTATTAATGATAGTAGGACCGTTTACAAAGTACAAGCCGTCTGGATTAATTAAAGCCTCCCCCACAAATGAGGCTTTTAGTCCTATTTATAATAATGACTAAGCACGTCTCTGGCATTCCATCCGGTCAGTCCCCAACCAGTCAGCATGCATGCCTTCGTCAGATGAAACCATGTGATTCCGACTCTTCTTACCCTTGACCGGTCAGACTGCCCGGGTTAACCAAGTCACAGGGCGCTGGATTCGATGCCTCCCGACCGGCACGAACCTAGCAGGTGGAAACTAGGGGTTATTACCCATCAGTAGGAATAAATTTTTTTCCCAAAAAAAATTTCCAATTTTTTGTTAGGCAATGATTTTTTAAATAAATACATTGTTGAACTTTTAGTTTAATTGAATCTATTAATGTAATATCAATTTATTTGTACATTATCGATATTTGAATAAAAAATAAAAAAAACATTGAGGCAATTTTAAAATACTTTAGGTAGGACAACTACTTTATATTTTATACACGATTGCTACCAAATTTTTATTATAGAACTTCTTTGTCTAAGATTTGGGTGAGGGATGGGGGGACGGAGGATGGAGTGAGTGTTGGGTGAAGAAAGAAAAGTCAATTTTCTCTCTCTAAGAGAAGTATTTTTCCCTCCTCTTTGCTAGATCTTCGGCCCTGATGGGCCTCGAGGATGTGGTTAATCCTTTACAAGGAAAAAACATTTTTCTTCAAAAATAATATACTACTACTTATGTAATCAAACGTAAGATATTATAATTAGAATCTTTTTCCCAAGTAGACAGAATCTAAGAATTGCAAATAATTAAGAACAAAGTCTTAGAAAAATTATACTACCTCCGTCTCAGTGTTTTTGTTCAGTTTGACTTTTTTGAATCAATCTGGACAAACTTTGAACTCCAATTCCTCCCAATTTATATTGCATATTAGCATTATGAAATACAATTTTGAAAGTTCTCAATACGATAAATCCAATAAAGTCATTTTTTATTTTGAAATACATTACGGTTTTTATTTAATTGAAGCTCAAAATTTATCCAGTTTAACTCGAAAAAGTCAAACTAGACAAATATACTAGGACGGAGGGAGTATAATAGAACAAAATTTTATTAAACCTTTTGCATCGCACTAGTTAAAATATTAGTTGACAAATAAAACGCACACAAAAGTCTATTTTTATATATTTTTATATAGGCTATGGTTTATATATTTGTGATCAGAAAAATGAATTGGGCTTAAGATGCGTGAGCTTTATTTTTATATTTATATTTTTTCATTTGGGATGTCACATTTTCAAAACCCAGTGGATGTAATAAGTCTAAGTAGTTAATAAGTTAAAAATGTATGAACAAATACTACATTTATTAGTATTAGATAAAAGAGAAAAATTCACTTTAGATAAAATACATTATCACGGATTCTCCACAAATTATATCGTACAGCCGGCTGTACGGGAAGAACCGTACTGCCAGCGGAAATAAGCGGCAGGATCGAAGAATCGAAGAAGTTCGCGAAGGAGGAGAGGAGGGTGACGATCGAAGAAGGCCGGAAAATGAGAGGCGACGACAAAGGGAGGCGCAAAGATTGGGAGGAGGCAAAAACAATGGAGAATGGCGACGAGGTATGGCGATGGTGGCGGCGGCTTTACATGAAGCCTGGAAACCCTAGGTGGGACTGAAGAAGTTGAAGAGATTTGGGGATTGGAATGAATCAGATGAAGATCAGAGGAAAAGGGTAGGGATGGAGAAGCTTGATGATGCTACTGCACTTTTCAATTGTGAAAAAATTGAACAATACTTTATTTTAGAATGAGCATTTCCTTATTTGAGAATGAGTATTATTTTTTTAAAGAATGAACACTACGCTATTTATTATCATTATATTAGACAAATGTGTAAAAATGAGTACTTCTTTATTTTAAAATGAGTACTATATTATTTCAGAATGAGTACTACGTATTTCGAAATGAAATGTTTATATTTGTACAAGAGACAATGAGTTGTATTTTATTTTTACTCACTCGACTTCACATTTGCATGAAACCACCCTGGGTAAGCCACCACATCGCCGCAGATTTGCAGATCTCCCGCCTCGCACATATTCAGACTGCCATCTACGACGGGGCTTTGAAAGGAACAGGGAAGGAATCAGGAACATTGGCTCGGTTCAGAGCCTATCTAGCTGCATTTCGGCGGCCATTAACAAAGGGCCGTTGACGGGGAATTGCAATTTACTGAGTATGGAGGCTTCTGGTGGCGAACAAATCCATTGATTCAGATGGACAGAGGTTTTTAGCTCCCTCCTCTTATCTATTTTCACCGTTTAATTTTATATTTTTAATTTTGTTAAGTAGTTGAAATTGAATGAAGTTAATTGTACTTGGTCCATCATCATTCCAAAACCCAAGGTTAGCTATGGAAAAGGATGAACTGGAGAGAAGCCATGGAACAAAGAAAGCGCCGCCTCATATGTGGAACCAATGGCAACTGCTCGATTCCCTTCTTGCGACCGGCGGATTCGCTCATTCCTCCGGCCTCGAGGCGGCAATTCAAGCCGGTTTGGTTTCCGCGCCGGAAGATCTGAAAACGTACTCGATCCACGTTCTGGAGAACACCGCAAGCCTTCTCCTCCCTTTCGTCCACTCAGCCGCCGTATCTCCGGACATCGACACATGGAACAAGCTCGACGCCACTCTCCACGCGATGATGACGAACGATGTGAGCCGGAAGGCGTCCATGTCGCAGGGATCGGCCCTGATGAGAGTCGCGTCCTCTGTTTTCTCCGAAATCCCGGCGATGAAGATGATGAGGGACGCGTCGCTGGGCAGATCAAGCTTCCACCACGCGCCGGTCTTCGGCCTGGTCTGCGGCCTTCTCGGATTGGACGCGGAAACTTCTCAGAAGGGTTACATGTATGTAACATCGAGAGATGTCGTGTTGGCTGCGACGAGGTTGAATCTCGTCGGACCCATTGGCGGCGCAGTTCTTCTGCATCAGATCGCATTGATCTCCGACGATCTGTTGAGAAAATGGATGAACAGGGGCGTTGAAGATGCTTGCCAGACTTGCCCTTTGGTCGATACCGTCCAGGCCTGCCATGGATACTTGTTTTCCAGGCTCTTTTGCTCCTAAGTCACTGCAATAATGCGGAGCATTTATCACCATTGTCTACTAGGGAGAATGTTGGTTTAACTAATTTTGAATCTGTACACAAACAATAATCGTTTGTTTTTACAGACTATTATCGTTTGTATATGTCTAATCATATGTAATTGTCATTTGTGGGGGTACCTGTTGTAGATTTGTAGCATTTTTGAATTTTGATTCCTTTCTCATTATTTTGTATGGGTACCTGGTAGTACTTAGTCATTTGTGGGGGTACCGGTAGTACTTATTAGTCACTTGTTTACAATTACTACAGATTTTGATTTCTTTGAATGGTTCTGTGCTATCAGATGGTTAGCATAAATATCTCTCTACTTACATCATTTTTGTTCTATTTTTTCTTTACAAAATTTGTGCCTTTTTTTACTTTGTTTTGAATTTGATCTTACCCGATTAGGTTCATCATCATAAGTATGTGTTAGACATACCGATTTGAAATGTTATTAAATATGTGGTTCTAGCAACGGTATACACCTGAAAACAGAGAGCTTTACTCTTCTAGATATGACTTGCTCAAAAGTTGATTGCTTTTAAGCTAACTTGCAAGTCTTTGAGTTTGTTTCACTTTATTAACCATTTGTGCTTTTATTTTGTGTATGATTCCAACAGCCTGCGAACACAAAAGGAAAGCAAAGCTCAAGATGTTCTTCTCCAACCAATTCTACTTTTAGAGGTTAGATATTTGATATTAATATATTATAATTAATGATATCATACTGGAAGTTAGATTAGATAAGCCTTTCTTCACCATTTCTTACTTTGACAATCTGAAGTTGCAGAATGTTTTCAGTTGAAGCTCAAGACAGCTCAAGAAGATAGCCGCCAATCATCAAGAATGAGATATGTTCGAGAACCTCTAGGAATTGTGGAGACTCAACCCTGCTGTGAGTAGTTGCAAATCCACTATCAGCTTCAGAGCAAACAAAGAAGAAAAAAAATTGTAGAGCTAGAATGGAAAAGGAGAGGCCAAAGAAGATGAAGAAGAAAGCAATGAAAAAAAGTTGAAAGAGATAAATTAGAGAAGGTTCAAACAATGATAAACTTAGAAAAAGGTACTACCAACAATGTGTTGTTGTAGAAAGAAGGTTGATTGTCTGATGACCTAGTAATAAGCTTATTGTTGGGATTGGCTTTTGATATGATATTTTACAATATTTCATCTCAGCTTAATTGGAAGACTACAGTGAATAAGAAGACTAGATTAGTTTATTGAGTAATATGCGATGGCGCCATCCTTCCCTGCCACATATTTATGATCGTGTGAAGTACTAAATGTTTGTTTTCTGATTATTCTTTCTTTCCTAAGTTCTGTATTTCTAAAATTTATGCACTTTTTTCCTTCTATATTTCACAAGTTTCTGAAGTTTTTTCCTCACAATTTCTTAAGGAAGAGGTGCATCTATTTGTTAAGTTCCATTTAGTGCAATGGTTGAGAGCAGGTTCACCAGTTGTGTGATAAATTCCATCCCTCAAATCAAATAGGTATCGGTTTTTGAACTTAGTAATGATATAATGACAAATCAAAAGATAGGCTTTCTTATGATAAGGTTCTAGATGAGTTCTTTATAATTTGATGTTTTTTAAATTTGAATTTTTTATTCCAGTTTTGAATATGTATCTGGATGGTGTTTGAATATGCTCCTGAAAATGTGTTTTGACGGAGTATCTGAATATGGTTCCAGTTTCAAAACCAATCTTGAATAGGTTTTGAATAATTACTCTAAATCTGAAGAGTGACATCATCAGAGTCAGTATGAACTATTGCAGCTCATTTTAGCAGATTATTTTGTTTATTACAAGTTTTATTCTTTAAATGAAGAGTGATATCATCAGAATCAGTATGAACTATTGCAGCTCTTCAATTGAAGAGTGTCGTCATTTCAAAATTTGTATGATTGCAATTTGTAGTGTATAGAAACTTAAGAAATATTGATGTTGTCATTCACAAATGAAGAACATGTAGGTACAAACCACCCCCTGCCAGTTATAAGTTGTTGAGAGATCTACTCAACGGGTTATTATAATTTGAATAATGATAATGAGAAAAAATCTGACTAGGATAATATTTGCAAGCTAATGGAAAATTGTAGTCATGATATTTGATCCCATGCCCTTTCATGTATTTCACCTTGCAGTATACAAATAGGTCTGAGGTTGAGTATCTATCTTATTATTACATAGCCTATGTTGATAATTTCTTTCTTGAAGTGTAGAACCATGATAAACTACCTGATCCTAAACTTGGGTTAGTGGAGAGATGGAACACGAGGATTTAATACAAGCAACGCTTTTTTGAAGTTCTTGAAAGTAGGTTCTGACTATGACATATGACTAACTGACTAAGGGTTAAAATTTCAGCAACTAAATCAATGTTTTTAAAAATACATCTCTTATTACTCTTTTTGGTGTAACAACCTTTGAAAAAAAATATGAACACATGGATTTTGCTAAATGACCTCAGGTAAAGATCTATCTTATGCACTTTTTATCCTGATTTTGTCATGTTATTTGATAGAAAAATAGGTAGATGAAGAAATTCAAGTTAATTTCATGCTAAACGGGAAAAAGAGAGAACATGAGGGGAAGATGAATATATAAGATTTATATATGGTTCCTGAATATCATGGGTTGTTACCATGCTTCTTTCCACTATACATTTCTATCATCTATTTAGAGTATTAGTCAAGTGATGAATAAAAGAAAGATAATAGGCTTGAGACAGTAGGATTACAGTCACTGTTACATCTTAACATTCATAAGCTAGGCAATCATCTGTTGTGCTCATTATATGCAAATCAAGAGCCAAGTTGCCATTTATCTTTTGAAAGTAATATGAAGTATTGGTTTTCTCTGGGCTTTTTATTCGTTAGACAAAAGGTAGAACTAAGTGACCCAACTAGAAAGGTGACTCTTTTGTTGTTGTTTGCATAATTTTAGTATGCGAGGACTATCGAGTTTGGAAGTTACTTTTCCACTCTAAAGAACTGTTTTCAGACTAAATATATGTGTTCTTTTTATGTATTCCAGGTGCATGGGTAGTTCCTATGAAACAGGTCACTACTAGGTATCAGGTAAGCGTGACTCCACACTTGAACATTATATTTGGCCACATACCTAAAATGACCCTTTACATTTCAAGCGTCCAATGTAGGCCTTAAATAATAATGAAGTTAGTGTCATTCACAGTTTTTAAAATTCTTATTGGCTTCAATTACGCAGAGTAAAGAACAATACTCCTTTGCTCCCAAAATTCAATTTATAAACATTTTGAAATAATGTGTTTCTTACGTGTTCACTTTTAGTCATGTGACTATTAGGTGTTTTGGTCAACAATTCACATTTTTCCATTTTTGGTGCCTAACTTGAACTTTTGCCGCTTTTGTTCCTGCTAAGTCACTTAGCCTTTGTATGGATGAGAAGAGAGAATCAGAAGAATGAAATTGGAGAGAATAGGAAGTGGAGAAGAAATGAAAAAAAATATTGTTTGGATAGATAGAAAAATAGAAAATGAAGAGAATGTAGAGATAGGTAAAAAGGAAAAGAAAAAAGAAGCATAGTTCAGCTTGTCGGCATTTTGTTCCCATCTTTGGAGAGAACATTTTGTGTGGGTCTCAAGTTTTGGTTCCAAGAAAGGGCGCCAAAAAAAAACAATGTTGTTTATGGAGTTATCTTTGCCACATTGAATGGTTATTAAAAAATCAATATCATTATTGAATTTGTAGTTGATATGGTTACTACCAATTACGGAGTTAATTACTCACTTGTGTAATTACTACCCTAGTAAAAACATGGTCATGCAAGTACACTTTGTTATCCAAACACACCCTAAGATTGTATATTCAAGTACAAAATCATTGGATACATGCATGTTCTCAACAGTTCTCTCAGCAGGCTTTTGTGCAGCATGAGAGGCATATATGTTGTCATATGCTATATCAAATGCCTCGTGAACATCTGCTAGAAGCTGAAACAATTTGGAATTGTGTATCTCTACGTATTTAGTCAACTTTGGAAGCATATTGATTTAGACATGGCAAGAACAATTTTCAAACAAGATCAATTTAAAGTTTAAAAAATATTTCAAGAAGCATATAAGAAAAAAAAGAACTGAGGATTACATTCAATTTTTAAAATATTAGCATTGGAAGTGTATACCTCGGGGTCAGGAAGTTCAGTTAAATTTTCAACCACCTTCTCCACTTCAACCTTGTCATACTGGATGGTATAGCTGTCAAACAGTAGACAATTACATGAATGCCTCACAGAATCTGTATTGTCTTGGTATCAATCTTTCTATCTAAAAATTTCATTGGCCTTGTTTGTGTATCAGTTTTTGACATCTAAGACACTCTTCTTGACACATCAAACGCTGCTCTGAGCAGCGATTGGGTTGGACAATAACCAAAGTACAACTGTACAAATAAGGTCTTCATGTTGATATCAAGGAGCAGCAAAACCATTTAACTTAGGCAAACAATTCCAAGTACTGTACTTAGAACTTGTAATTAACACTAGAAGAGAGCAATATTATACGATCGTGAACCTATATTCCAGATGGCATGCGCCAAGGCATTTTGCAGTAATAAAAAAAATCAATATATGGGAATGAAATCATTTGAAAGTTAAATAGATAGCCTTTTAAAGATTAAGCATCTTATCAAGTATGAGCTGAGTAATGCTAAAAAAAGGGGCTCGACATAGGAACTTCATGTTTTAAATGACTCACATTTTAAAAAGGGGCTCAACTTTTCTAGGTCAACATTTGAAAAACTTTGAGTACCTTGGTAGAATCTCGAGTTTGACTACCTTGGAATTGTGATATAGATTGAATATCAATAGGTTCATTTTGAAACATAGTTTTGAAATATCATATTTATATAATATATATCTATATATAAATAAAAAATTTAATGGTCAAAGTGTTGTATTGGAGACCGTGAAAAGTCAAAAGAGATGAGCGAGGACGGAGGGAGTAATCCTTACTCCGCCGTAATTGACAGTGGTATAAGTCCTGCTCTTACGGATTGATCATATTTATGTTGGAAAGCTATTGTATCTGTAGTAACTAGTAATATCCTTGTTTGAGCTTTAATAAATACATAAGGAGGCCAGTAATGATAGAGATTAGTGCAAACTATGTTAATGTATTTCGTGTATAACCATAATTTTGAATGAAGTTATAACGAATAGTTGGTGATTGAACTGTATTGGTAATGCTATTGCACGCCCTATGTGAAATCTGTATGCAGTTTTGTCAAATTGTCATGTTCATGATTTTCATGTGGGTGATCTGTTTTCTTTTTTTATTTAATTAATAGAACAACTAAGTGTTCATTGGTTTGTTTTGCACTTTAACTTTGCAGGAGCTTAAAGAAAGAATGGCAGATACATCTCACCACCCAATTTTTGTTCAAAAGGTAGAGGTAGCTAATACATAGATCTGACTCTGATTCATTGATTGTTTGCGTAGTTCTATCAGGGACTGTATTCTGGTGCTGTAGATTATACGGAGTATTGTTTTTGGTATGTTAATGGGTGTTGATCTGCAGATCTCTTCTGGGCGAAGATGCCTCGGCTATGTATGCTAAATATAAATTGTGCTTTACAAAGTTGATATACTGCATGGATAGTAATTAGATTCACACTAATAAGCTAGGGCGTGTACTTATATATGGATACACAGTTCTTTGTGTTCCATTTTATATTTTAGAGTTGACTTACTGTTGACATCTGACATTAGGAAGCAAATTTATTAAATCAGTACTCATTGACATCACTTTAAAATAAATACTCCATTTGTATTATCATATACTCCGTACTCCCAGTGGTATAAGTCCTGCTTCTACGGATTGATAATATTTAAGTTGTATCTGCAGTAGTATCCTTGTTTGAGCTTTGTTAATGTATTTTGTGTATAACCATATTTCTGAATAGAGTTATAACAAATAGCTGGTGGTTGAACCATCCTAAGTGTTAGAGATTATTCTGTATTGGTAATGATATTGCAGACCCTATGTGAAATCTGTATACAGTTTTGTCAACGTATCTTGTTTATGATTTTCATGTGGGTTATCTGTTTTCTTTTTTATTTTATTAATGGAAGAACTAAGTGTTGATTGATTTGTTTTGCACTTTCACTTTGCAGGAGCTTAAAGAAAAATGGCAGATATATCTCACAACCCAACTGTTGTTCAGAACGTAGAGGTAGCTAACCAATGTCAACTGAGCTCGAATCTTTGTGAAGATGGCCAAGCTATGTCGTACTCAAGGCATTTCGTCTTTGAAAACTGCTACATTACTTGTTTGAAAGAATGCCAGAGCAGCTTGGATCTTCCATCAATTACTGAAAATGCTGCACCAGTCATTGTGCAAGCTCCTCCAATGAAAGGATTTGCTAGTTTTGTGGTTGACTTTCTCATGGGTGGGGTTTCATCTGCTGTCTTAAAGACTGTAGCTGCCCCCATTGAGCGTGTTAAACTGCTGATTCAAAACCAAGATGAGATAATAAAGTTAGGTAGGCTATCTGAACCTTACAAGGGTATTGGTGAGTGCTTTAGTCGAACCATCAAGGATGAAGGTTTTGTTTCATTGTGGAGAGGAAACACCGTCAGTGCAATACGATGCTTTCCCACCCAGGTCCACTTCTTTCTTTGTTTTATTTAGGAATCTCCAATATGCACTTTTTTGTTTTAGCCATGTTTTATAGCTATTTGATAATGGATACCCCATGTGTGCTTCTGTAGGCTCTCCTGAACTTCACATTCAAAGATTACTTCAAGAGCTTCCTGACTATCAAGAAGGAATGTGATGGCTACGCGAAATGGTTTGCTGCAAACCTTGCATTAGGGGGTGCTAGCTGCAGGTGCTTTAACATTACTGTGTCTATTCATTGGACTATGCCCGTACCAGTTTGGCTAATGATCTCAAGGCTGCTAAGATGGGAGGTGAGAAAATTCAATGCTTGGTTGATGTCTATAAAAAGTTGATGTCTATAAAAAGACGTTTGCCTCTGATGTCTATAAAAAGAAGTATTGACTGGAAGCTTAGAGGTTCGTACTTCAATAATTTCATTAATGTTTCTTTTTATTCTGAACTAGTTTGGCAAAGGTTACCTTTGTTGACATGACTGAGTAATTTGTCTAAAGCAGAAATCTATTCCTGTCTTTTATATTAGTCGAAAGCTTCTTATTCTTGAAATAGACTTAAATGTAACGACTATCGTGTCTGATTTCACTAGCTGCATTTATTCTTGTGTTACTGATATGACGTAATGACAAGCATGCATGGAATCACTAGTAACATCCCAAGCCTGTTTGGCAATGTTTATTTGTTAACTGACTGAATAAATTTTCCTAGAGAGAAAGCAATTGGTAAATATCCATTCCAGCTTAAGTAAGTTAAAAATATGTACTTATTTTTCTTATTCCATTGATAAGCGAATAAGAAAAATAAGTACACTTATTTTTTAACTTACTTAGGCTGGAACAAGAAAAATAAGTACACTTTTTTAACTTAGGTTGGAATGGATATTTAGCAAGTCTTTTCTCCCTAGGAAATTTTTTTCCGTCAGGTCAACTAATAAACATTGCCAAACAGGCTTGGGATGTTACTAGTGATTTCATGCATGCTTGTCATTATGTCATATCAGTAACACAAGAAAATAAATGCAGCTAGTGAAATCAGACATGATGGTCATGGTCATTACATATTAGAGCCTGTTTCAAGAATAAGAGGCTTTCGGCTAATATAACAGGCTGAAATAGATGTGCTTTAGACAAATTACTTCGTCATGTCAACAAAGGTAACCTTTGCCAAACAAGTTCTGAATAAAAAGAAACATTAATGAAATTATTGAAGTCCTAACCTCTAAGCTTTTTGATAGAGTCATATATTCCAAAATACTAAATTGTCTACTGTCATAGCTGTCTGGAATTTTCCGGTCCAGACCGGAATATATTATATAAATTGCATCCATTATCCATTTCAAGCCCAAAAGCATTAGATCCAGTCCATATAGTTTTAGATTCATGAATTTCTTTTTTCCAATATTTAGTTTTTAAATATTTTATTTAAGATTATTATTTTTACGGTAGTTTATAAATTTGAATAAGTTATAAAATAAGTTTTGATGAATTTGTTGCTTCTACTTATAAGTACTATTTTTATTAAATACTTTGAACAAAAACAACTTATTATTTCAATTTTTTTCTAAATTTATTTAATAATTTAATTCATTTATAAGATTTCAAAAAAATATAAAAAAAATTCTAGTCTAAAGTAGGGTAAAACCGGACCGGACCAGAAAAAACAGGTCCGGACCGGAAATAAACAGGTCCGGTCTTCGGTCCTAAAGAAATTGCAATTCCGGTTCCGGTCTTAAATGGTTCCGGTCCGGTCCGGTTTTGGACCGGTGCACACCCCTAGTCACAACTATGCGTGAAAAGGTTTTTAATTTTAATACTTGTTTCAAATTTAATAAATATTCAAATTTACAAAACGAGTTTTAGATGTATGTATATTTTTCTAATAAAATAGCATAGTCATGTCAATTATTTATTACATACAAATACATCAAAAGATCTAACAGATTTAGATGTTTTGTTAACTGATCATTGAAAAGATACACATCTTGATACTGGATTTTCTCATTATAATAAATTTTAAACAAAAATAGGTTTCTTAAATAAAATATGGATTGTCACCTTATTACCAGATAGAATGTTTAACAAATAAAATTACTACATTGTGTCTCAATATTTTATAAGGAAATTTTTAGTAAGAAATACGGTATGGTTTGCTGATTCTATAAGTTGTTTCTAGGAATTATAAATCCCTTAAATATATAATACAAAATATAAATAAAGATTCTAAAGTAAATTTCATAATTGGTCCTTTATAACATAGGGGTTTCCTTATTTAGTCCTCTATTATCAAATATTACTCCAGTGATCCTTTTTTTATGGGTATTTTTCGACAAATAGTCCTTTTTTTATCTTTTATCATGTTGAAGTTAATTTGAAGGTTAAAAGTGTAATTTCACAATGATAATATATCATTTTTGTCATACACAATTCCAAAGGTTGTTCTATTTGTGTCGTTTGTGATTTACATTCGCTTTTTACTACAACCATAGTCTACAAATGTGCTTTTCTCTCGGAATCCTAGCCCACAATCATAGTCATTATTTTTGTGTTATCCGCTTAATCAATATCAGAACACGTCACTAGACATAATGTTGATGTCAAATTATACTTTTAGTCTTTAAATTAACACCCACTTGGCGGAAGATAAAAAAGGACCATTTGTGGAAAGGCACCCTTAAAAAAAGACTATTAAGGTAATATTTGATAATAAAGGACTAAATATGGAAACCCCATATTATAAAGGACCAATTATAGAATTAATCAAGATTCTATCAATATTCAAATTTTGTTATGAGTCCGTCCTAAAATTAACTTCCCAATTTGACTTTTGTAGTCAAACTTTTTAAGTTTTGACCGTATATTACGGAAAAAATACATTGAATTTTTATATAAATTTATTAGCAATAGATTTATTTTGAAACATATTTTCAAAATATATAATTTTTATAAAATTTATTTATATAAAAATTGAGAAATTGATGGTCAAAGTGTCGTATTGGAGACCGTGAAAAGTCAAATGGGAAGTTAATTTTAGGACGGAGGGAGCATTATATATCTACGTCAGGTTATCAATTGTGTTTTAATAGTTTATTTATAAAATGAAGAATGTCTTTAGAGGAAAAAAACTTTTTTAAAAGAAAATGTTTTTTCTTAAAAACATAAAATAATTTCTTATTGAAAATATAATTTATAAAAGGATATAATTTCAGCATTTTTATTAATAACATTTTTGGGGATTATTATTTTATTGGAACATAATATTTCATAGAGAAGAATATAATAGTATAAATATAATAGAAAATTAAAATATAAGTTTGATATGTATATACATGGTATTTATATTTTAAAATGCTGAATAAATACTATAGTTTTGAATAGAATATTTTAGGGTAAATTAATTAACAAAAATACTATTTGTATATTTATGTTTAATAATAAGGAGATATTTTCAATAAACACAAGAAAAGTTCAAAGTGAGTATTTTCAATATGCTTACTCTAAGGGGGGGCTTGCTTTATTAGTTTTACTCCCTACTAACTCACTTTGAAGTATATTTTTTGTCAACACTAAAAAGGGGAGATTGTTAGCCTTGGTTTGCTAAAGCCTCGTGTTTTGATGTTAACAAACAATATAAGAGCTAAACATTTGCTTAAGTGTTTCAAGTATGACAAGAATCCATTAAGAATTGGTTCTCAAAAATGAAGTCAAAACACTAAACTAACATAGAATATATGTAAAAACAAATGTAATGATATGAGTTTATATATCTATATTCACAAGCTCAAATTCACTCACAAAATATGTTTAAAACCATCCTATAAACACTTTCAAACATCGAAAAGGTTTTAAACTCAAACGAGAAGGATTATGATATTTTTGGAAAAAAGCTTGTCAGTGGCCACGGTACACCAAACGGTACCCTATACCGTCTCCACGGTACCTCGGTACCCTTTTTGCTCAGGTTCCGCGAGAGAGGGTTGGTTTTTAGTTTTCACGGTACCTTGCTATCGTCCGTAACGGTACCCACCTACAGTTCCTACGGTACCATGATACTGTGCATCTGGTACCAACGTACCGTGACCGTTGTAGAAAATTCAAATTTCGAATTTTGAATTTTATAACATTTAATTGGTCAAAACCTTTACTAATCATCTTCCAACGGCTCCTTAATCTTTTCCACTATAAATATAGCCTTAATTCTTCATTTTAAACAAGAGAACAAAAGCTCCAAACATCCTACTTTTATACTTGTTGTGTGTTTACTCTATTGTTCTTAATTCTTCATATTTTGGCCATTTTAAGAGACTCATTTTTCTGATTTTTATACACACGCTTTGAGCTTGTGTTTTAGTTATATACTTTCATATTCATAAGTTTATTAACTTTATTTTGTATCTTTTGAGAGAATATAGTTTTCCTTCTACACTGGCTAAAGTCTTGTTCTTCAATTTTGTATTCAAGCCGCTGTGTAGAACCATTTCTTGTGTTCTTCAAACACATCTTTTTATGGTCGAGAATAGCCGTTAAATTCTCACGTTGTAACGGTCGAGGATAGTCGTATAAATCCTTGGGTAAAGGTTTAAGGATAGCCTTTGAAATCCTTGGGGGGAATGGTAGAAGATAGCCGTTAAATCATTATTTTAAGCGGTTTGAGATAGCCGTTATATAATCTCGGAGTGAATATTATTGGCAAGAGTTGTTTCCCAAAATTAGTGCGGTTCTTTGTTGGAGTTCAAGAGACCGGGATTTAGTGGATTTGGAAATTCTTGAGGAGGAGCCTCAAGGTACTAGAGTAGAGAGTTCCCGAACCAGTATAAAATCGGTGTGCATTTTATTTACTCTTTTATGTCTGTGTTTTATATATTGCTTCCACATTTGCCAACACCGTTTTTATTAAACTCTGAAAAGTTTTCAAACACCTTATTCACCCCCCCGCCCTCTAAGGCGTGGGCACAACGACTACAAGTGATATCAGAGCAGATTCGTAGTTTAAAGTGCTTAATCGCATCTACGACAAAGATCTATTTGTGCCCATTTTAAATTGAATTTTTAAAATTTCAAAAGTTTACTATCCCTGATTTTTGAAATTCAAATTTTGAAAAATGGCCACCATGAAATCCCATCGCATTCACCGCCCTCTATTTTTTTAATGGCAAAAAATATTCTTATTGAAAAATGCGAATGAAATACTTTATTCAATCAATTGATTTTGATTTATGGTTTAATGTACTTCACGGGCCATTTGTGCCGAGAAACGGTAATTTTGCAGGACTATCCTCAAAGGACAAGAGAAAATTGTCAATGAATGCAAAGACGATGAACATTCTTTATTGCTCCCTTGGACCCGATGAGTTCACACGTGTGTGCCCGTGCAAAACGGCCAAGGAGGTATGGGATTTGCTTCAAGCCATGCATGAAGGCGACACCTCCACGAAGCAAACCATGTTGGCCCTCGGAAACTCGGAGTATGAAAGTTTCAAAGTTGACCAACATGAGTCAATCCAAGATACCAATAGAAGGTTCAATGAAATAGTCAATAAGATGGATAGACCTTCATGAGTCAATCTAGGAATATTCTACAAGTGAACTAAATACTAAAACTTTACTTTCTTTGCTAAAAGAATGGCATAATAGTATTGTAGACCTTTTACCCAAATGTGCAACGGAAAGCACCGCCCACATTTGGTTTTCTTTGTATTCTTATGAGCTTTTGATGATTAAGATGAAAGAAGAATATTTGAGAGAAGACCTGAAATGAACCAATGCAATCAAGGCATCCAAGGAAGAGTCTAGTGACAACTCATGTGATGAGTCAAGTGAAACGGATGAAATATCCGATGACTCTAATTCGTCAAGTGATGAAGAAGACGGAGAAAGAGAAACGAGGAAGAAATACAAGGACTTTCTCCAATAGAAATTTTATGACGACTCAAGAAGGAGAAAATCAAAAAGAGAAAGAAGTATATTCCATGTCGAAGAAAGAACGACGTAATCCAATGTAAGTCTTTTTCCTACTTATTGGGATGAGATTTTTTTGTTTTTTAATTATTTTTTTAAAAATAAAACTTTATCCCATATGTGCTTTAATTTGTTTTAGCCTTGGTTTGCATGATTAAATAATTTTTCAAAATTCATTTTTATATCATGACTTTTAAAAATTATCCCCAAAAATCCTTGAAAATAAGTTTTTTTAAACTTGCATCATTTTAGGGGGAGTTTTAGTTTAGGGGGAGTTTTGTTGTAATTGCACCTTCTACCCAATGATCTCTAAACCATCTGAAGGGCCGATACCCAACGTGTAGCCCAAACACCATACCTGGGAGGCGCTAGGCCACTAGAGCTAAGGTATATTAAACCTGGACCGGCCCAAGACGTTGGGCCTAGGCCAATCCAACCAAGAAGGCAGCTGGAAGAGTCAATCCGCGAGAGGAGATTCAACAGACAGCAGGGACGTAGCCGAAGAAAGTGGATCACGCCATTGACGGATTAGTCTCCTCTGATTATTGAACTACCTTAATTACCCAAAACACCATGTATAAATGGAGAGGACCCGAATGGGGATCCTCAAGCTGAGCCAAGCCAATAATACTTACAATTCTCGAGTTCTTGTTCTTAATTTTATTTCGATCCGTTCTCTTGAATCGGGTCATTTGGTGGATTTATTGTCCATCAAATTGGTTCTTTCATTGAGAGCTCGAGAGTTACACTTAAGAAAAATCCTTCCAAAAGAACAATGGTGCAAACTCGTAGCAACGCAAATCAGGTCACCGGGAATCCCCCAGGGCGAAGCTAGCGCCACAAGAGGTCGTCATCCTCACATCAACCTGACGGAGGTAGAGGCCTTAATTTAGCGGGTCGAAATCACCGCCGAACAACTCAGGGAAGTGTTGGCAGTCCTGGCCTTGAACCACGAAGTTCTGGTGGGGGATGCGACCGGGGAACCGGCCGGAGGGAAGGCTGGACCAGCAGGCCTTGAGGGGAAAAAGAAGAAGGTCAGGCGATCCCAAAAGAAGAAGGCGACCAAGCCTAACGGGAAGACTATGCTAGAGGATGATCTGTCCAGGTTGGACGAGGAGGATGAATCGTTCTCTTTCGAGCAAGCATCTGCCTTCGATCGGCTGGGAGATCCCAAACTAAAAAAGCCACGAACCTCCGCATTCGACCGGTTGCAGGACACTCAGTCGGCTCGAAACGATGACATGAGGGACAAACTCAGGGAGAGAAGAGAGGAGTCCTTAGCGACATCCAAGGCTGACCCAGAAGAGCGACGAAAGGCGGTTGAGGATAAGGAGACGATCGAGTTATGGAGGATGTATGATCGCCTAGAGAAGCGACTGGACGCCCAGAATCCATACCGCCAGGCGGTGTTCAGTGAGGTAACCCCCTTCTCCAAAAGGGTGATGTCTTGTCCTCTCCCGGATAACTTTAAGACCCCTCAGATCAAGGCATACAACGAGACGACCGATCCCCAAGACCATCTCGCTCGCTTCGGGGCAAATGTGGTTATGTACGCCTACCCCGAAGAGATCAAGTGCCGAAGTTTCCTAGCAACACTGGAAGGGCAAGCTTGTGAATGGTTCCACAAGTTGCCTAAGGGATCGATCGATAAGTGGAGCGACCTGGCCCACAAAATTCCGGAGCACTTCGCATCGAGCCGAAGACAGAAACTCCCCTTCTCACACTTGCTCAATGTGAAGATCCGAAAGGGGGTGCAGCTCCCGGAATTCATCAATAGGTGGGAGGAGGCTAGGGATGTCCAGGGGGCGGACGACCAGGCCCTGATCGCGATGCTCCAAGCGGCACTCCCTCAAGGGGATGTGCGCAAGGAGCTGCGGCGAAACCCACTCCCTACCTATCAGGAGATGCTAGCCAGGGCGAAATACTTGGTGTTAGAAGAAGAGGATGATGATGCGCCTGTCCAGAAGGAGAAAAGGGTGGGCAGCCAGCAGGAGAAGGGAGGAAAAGAAAAGATTTTGGTAGGGGACCAAACCCTACAGGGTATCAGGCAAGCAAACCGCCTGTCCATACAGTTCAGTCTTTACCGGCCCCTCCTCATAGTCGGGAAAGTTATAGCGTCCAAGACGCACCCAAGTACTGCGAATAACACCGTAAATGCACCCACAATACATCGGAGTGCGTTACGTTGAAGAAGAAGATGGATCAACTGATTGCTAAAGGGCCGCCAGCTCGACCGGAAAGGCAGGCACCTGGAAACAGAACGTGGAGGAGACCAGCCGCTGCCGACGCAGCGATCACCAATGGGGAGGGGCAGGAAGATGGAAGGCGACATCTGGGGAGAGATTGTGAGGACCTGGATGAAGATGAATGGTGGAACCGCCAACCTCTGGGATGTCGGTTCATCATGGGTGGAAATACCAGAGGGGACTCGGCGTCCTCACGGAGGAAGTGGAAGAACATGGTCCACTTAGCAGAAGTACAGAGGCCACCGCTGCCCAAGCGGAAGATGAAGATTACCCACCAGTCCTCAGCCCCCATCAGGATGCACTGTCGGTAAAGGTAGAAATTAATAATGTGGTGGTCCATCGCACACTGGTCGACACAGGTAGCTCAGTCAACATCATATACAAGAATACGTTCAAGGAGTTAGGCCTGTCTCGAGGAGATCTTAAGCTAATCCGCACCCCGCTGTCAGGATTCACTAGGGACACCATTGAAGCGAAGGAACCATCACAGTAACGGCCGGGGTTGGAGATGGCACCCACCGACTTTGGCTCGACATGGAATTTATGGTAGTGAAACTCGATTGTGCACACCATTTAATCATAGGGCGACCGGGTCTGGAAGATTTGGAGTGCGTGATCTCCCCTGTCCACCTTTGTATGAAGTTCATCACCCCTACCGGGGTGGGTTCAACGGCGTGGCGGCGGCGGATCTCAGCGGAACCCATCGGGCCAAGCTCCCTGGATTTCCCCCTTCCCCCAACCCGATTTACTTGGTGTTGGAACACACTTTGTACGATAAACTAAAGTCGTGTTCATTTCTGACAGGTTTTGATAATTGCCAAACCGCGGTGGATATGAAGAGTTTCGTTGAATAACTCAAGGCATGAAGAATGACTTGGAACAAGACCAAAAAGACTCAGGACAAGATCAACAATTGAAGACTTAGTCGAGTCGGTCTTTTGTGATCAAAACAAACAATAAATTCAAGTCTCGGTTCTCAAAGAGTCAAAACAATTTTTACAAATCATAAAATATTTTTTGTGCATCAAAACAAATATTTTTCGGCGTTCGGTTTTTGGCGCCCGAACCAACTCCGTGGTTTTCAATATTTTAAACCCTGTTTTTACCTCTGAACATTTTAAAAATGTTCCCAAATAATTATTTTATAAAAACCACTTTTGTATCTTGGTCATTCGGTCTAACACGTGAAAAACGGTCTAAACCGTACATACGTCTTATACGACCTTGGAGACTTGGTTTTTACCAAACAAGTCTTGTTTTCACTATTTAATACCATATACAATATTTTCTAAACCTGGTTTTTACTTTTGGGAACACTTCATTTTTGGACCTCGGTTTTTCAAAACGGGTTTCAGCTGGCTAGACTTTAGCTGGGCGATAATCGATTATCACCTTAGTGACAATCGACTATCAGCCCCTGCAGCTTTGAACTTCCAAGGTTCTGAAGCACGCAATAATCGATTATCAGTCTTTGCAGCCAAAACCCAGAATCTTCTGAGAGGACCAATAATCGATTATCACTTGTTGACAATCGATTATCTGGGTTACCGTTGTCCTCCAACGGATAGAATTTTAAATTTTTGGACAGGGAATCTTTGGATAATCGATTATCATGCTTTGACAATCGACTATCAGCCCGTGTCCCTGAGAAATTTGTCTTCATCCTGTTGGAATTTCTAGCAACGGATTTATCCCATTTTGGGCTATAAAATGGCACCCAAATCCTCTCATTT